TTTTCTTGTAAACTAGTGAAGGTCTTTAGTGTCCTTTACATCCTAAGCCAAAGTGAAAGTATGGCATTTTCTGATAGAGATTTTAGATGCAGTCTCAAATAAATCTCTGATAAAAGTGAATAAGCATGGGTAAATTATATCTCAGTATTTGAAAAAGGCTGGAACTCTAGGAACCTTAACTAAATTCTCAGCCTACTTGCAATTAAGTGTGTGAGAAAGTTAACCCTCTGCTACCTTTCTTCCTCCCTCTCATGGGCTGGAAGGACAGGGTGCCACCACCCAGCTTTGACTGTGCAAACAAGGGCAACGGCAGAATAACAAACTAGAAGGGAACTGCATCCTGAACAACCTCATGGTGCAGAGCCACTCATCCACCCTGAGCCACCCTCTGACCTCTGCACTATTATGGGAGTTATACTGTATTTTTTTTATTTTTTGGTGAGGAAGACTGGTCCTGAGCTAACATCTGTTGCCAATCTTCCTCGTTTTGCTTGAGGAACATTGTCCCTGAGCTAACATCTGTGCCAAACTTCGTCTATTTTGTATGTGGGATGCCACCACAGCATGGCTTAATGAGCAGTGCGTAGGTCTGCACCAGGGATCCGAACCTGTAGACCCTGGGTGGGCAAAGTGGAGTGCACGAACTTAATCACTATGCCACTGGGCCAGCCGCTCTAAGTATCACTCCATTTTCTTCATGGAAATGAGTTTTGGTCTTTGTTACAGAAGCTGAGCCTATGCTCTAACTCAATGGTCTTCAAACACTTTGTCTCCTAAATAAAAATTTTAGAAATTTGTATCCCATCAGACAGTTTAAACTAGACATCTATTTGTTCTTTATATCCTAAAACTTTGCAAAGGACACAATTTCTGCTCTACTGGTTTATCACACAAATGCTTTAAATATGTCTTCATTAAATTCTCAAAGCTACACGTTACTTAGGCAATTTATGGTAAATGTCCCCATGTTTAATGTAATTGACAAAACCAGTTCTCATTGTCAAATCAATTAGCCAAGTCAGATTACTTCCTATCAGAAAATGTCTTTGTTTTTTAATTTTATAGATGTTAGCCCAGGCCAACCATATCACTACTGAATCCTAATTCTAGGATTAATATAGAAATTCCTTCAAACTTTTAATGCCCATATAACTTGCAGAGAGTCTTCATGTATCCCAAGGGTATATAAACTCCACTTGGAAGGCCACTGCCCTGAGTAGCACACTCTGTCTTAGCCCTATCTGTGGCACCAGCTTCGTGTCCCAGGACTCCTCCTGGATTCCCCTCTCTCAATCCCATTTGATCCATCAGCATGACACAAACCCACCTACCTCTCTAACCTTGTCTCCTAACATGCCCTTTGTTCTCAATGCTCCAGCCACACTGGTCTTGCTGCTTTGTCCTAGACAAGTCAAGCTCGTTCCTTCCACTTCCCCTTCCTGGCATGCCTTCTCCCAAACTTTTACATGACTGCCATGACATGACTTTCAAATGTTACCTACTCAAGGAGGCTTTTCTGGATCAGTTCATCTAGAAGATAACTGCCAAGTTGGTTTTACACTTTACATCAGGATAAATTCCAGATGGAACAAATATTTAAATGTAAAAAATGAAAACTTAAAATTCCTAAAGGAAATAATGGGAGGTTAAAAAAAAATCTTGGAGTGGGGAGGACCTTTCTTTAGAATTTTTTTTACGGGATGTTGTATGGGATAATTTCAAAGTTCTCATCTAGTTCTTAAAATTTTTATGATAATATGTGGAGTGAAAAAAAACTTATATAAACAAAGTTACAGCACAAAGGTGCCTAGTCACATGGCTTATTTATTGCTACCATATTTGGGAGGCTTGTTTCTGGAGTAATTAATTTACTTTAAATGGGAACTTGTTTTGGTTATTGGCAGGCTACATTTTTTGAACAGACTTTTCAATGAAAACTGAATGTGCTGGTTAAAATGTTTTAGGAATCTTAAAATCTTAAGGACAGCTGACAAACTAGTAAGGAATTATCATTCCACAACTAAAATAAAGCAAGAACTTGATAGAAGCAAAGGGGTGGAGTGGAAGCAACTTTTATCCTGAAGATACTTGCCAATCCAGGTGAAACTAAGCCTGGAGCAACAGACCCATATACTTGGGTGTCTAGATTTAAATTAACTATCAAGTTAAACTATTAAAGTATTATGTCTTCATAATAACAAAATTTAAAGTGAGCAAAATATGAAAGACTAACTTTATTTATATTACATGTTGAGTTCTGTTGATGGGCAAGTAATGCTGGGGTAATAAAATAAACAATTGACAACTTCAAATCTTCAGGTCATTCATTTTTTGCCTTGATTTCAGCAAATCATTTATGTTAATATTTTTCATATAATTGCATTTTATTAACAGTGGTCTGAGTGCATACTTTGTATGATTTCTATTTTTAAAAACTTGTTAAGGTGCGTTTTATGGCCAAAAATGTGGCCTATCTTGGTGAATGTTCTGTAAGCTTGAGGTGTATTCTGTTGAAGGAATTTATAAATGTCAATTTGATCTAGTTGATGTTTAGTTCGACCATGTCCTTCCTGAGTTTCCATCTCTTTGCTTACATTACCATCTGTTCTTTCATGGTGTCTACCTTTTCCACTAGAGCTCTTAGCATATTAATCATAGTTGTTTTATATTCCCTATCTGATAATTTCAACATCTCTGCCAAAACTGAGTCTGGTTGATGCTTTCTCTGTCTCTTCAAATTGTTTTTTTGTATGCTATGTAATTTTTTGTTAAAAATTGGACATGATGCACTGGTTAAAAGGAACTGAGGCAAATAGGCCTTTAGTGCGATGTTTTAGATTTACCTGGGTAGTAGTTAGACTGCTTAGCATTTGCTACAGCTGCAAGTGTGAGAGGCTAAAATCTCATCTGGTGTCCTGGTTTTAGTCTCCTGTTGTCACTGGGTTTCCCTAGAGACTTTTTAAATAGGGTTCTAGCTTGCAGTTCTTTCACAAGTACTCCTGTTGTTATACAGGAGCCCTATTGATGTTGTGAGGTGAGGGGGGAGGGAAAGCATTTCACAGTCCAATGATTAGGTCTCAGTCTTTTAGTGAGCCTGTGCCCCAGTCTTGACCTTCACAAGTCCTTCTGCTATCTCCCCCCTCCACACACACACACTTAGGTAAAACAGGAAGGCTAGAAGGACCTGGAGTTGGGCATTTCCCTTTCCCTGGGTTGGTTTGGCCCTTGACTCAGGCCTTGCTAAGAACAGAACTCTCAGGGCATATTGCAAAATGAATACTTTCCCCTTCCTCCTGCCAGAATCACAAGAAGATTTTCCTCTAATCTTCACTGTGAGAACCTGGTAGTGTTCCTAAAACTCACAAAAGTTTGTCCTACCTCCCAAGACTGGGTTCCTTGGAGTTTTTAACTGTCAATCTTGTCCACAATGAGCCTCTGGCAATTTGTCAATTGTGGTTTAAGTCTCCTTAGCTTGGTACTGGCTCCTGCAGAGTTTTTGCTTCTGCTATGGTGGAATGTGATTCTCTGTTCTGCTCCTCTCTCCAATTTTGGAGGCAGCAGTTTGCCCTGTGACCTCAATTCTCTAATGGATCTAAGAAGAGTTGTTGATTTTCAGTTTGCTCAGCTTTTTTCTTACTTTGAGAATGGGAGTGATGACTTCCAAGCTCCTTACATGCCCAACTGGAAAGCCGTAAGATGTTTTTAAAGTCCAAACAGAACCATAAGAAAAATTAAGCGGAACAGATCCAATCTATTCCACACCTAAGAAAACGAAATTTAACGCACACCATAGCATTAACTTTTCCACATAAACTAGTTAAGGAACAGCTCTTAGTTATATTTAGTGTAAAAGTAAGTCCTTGCATTTAGAAGATTCAAAAATCACTTGTGTGTAGTTGACATGATGTGCTACTCAGATCCCTCTTCAAGGAGTTGCTGCCCAACTCGTGAGTACTGCCAGTGGACAGCCTTCAGCTCCACCTGCTTCTGGACTGGCCTCAGCTACAGAGGTCATGCTCTTCCCAAGGACCCACAACCAACGACTGATCAAGGTGGGGTACGGAAGCCCATCATCTCAGCCCAGTGCAGGACAACCTGATGAGCTGATTCCACTGACCTGTACTGTAGGCCAGCTTTTCTCTCTGGCCAGTCAGGCTCCCTTTCCCTTCTTTTTACTGGGCACTCTGCATGTCTAACTCCATCTTGGAGGCTGCTTCCCAAAGAAAACAAGTGGTAACAGTTTGTCAAGTCTATTCTTCTTCCAATTGAAACTTGCTAATCTCCCCTTGGAAACTCTTAACATCATGAGAAAGGGTCAAATATAGATACAGTATAAAATCAGTTGAGATAACAACTAATTGCAAATACTCATTTTAAAAATGAAAATATTTCCTTTCCTAAACATCCTATAAATAAACTTACCTTCTATCCTAGGTTTGGAAACACTGGGGCTTGTCCCATGGCCTAGTGGTTAAGTATGGCATGCTCCACTTACGTGGCTCGGGTTCAGTTCCTGGGTGCAGACCTACACCACTTGTTGGTGGCCATGCTGTGGTGGTGACCTACATACAAAATAGAGGAAGACTGGCACAGACGTTAGTTTAGGGCGAATCTTCCTCAAGCAAAAAGAGCAAGATTGGCAAGAGATGTTATCTCAGGGCTAGCAAAACAAAAAAATATTTTCTTGAGACCTGGAAGTAGCTGTTCATCTCCTGGCATTTGAAGGCCTCCTCGGTGAATTTCTTCCAAGACTTCAGAGTAAAGCCCCAGATCTGGGCTGGTTCCCAGGAGGGTTTGTTCCCAGACTTTGCCATCTGAATGCAGGAAATGCTGATGCTGCAAAATGATTGAGATTGGGTCTGAGGGCGAGAAGGCCTGGTGCTCAGCTCTGAGGCTACCTTGAGTTCAGAAGTTGTTCTTTAAAAATAAGTAGTAAATACAGTGCTGAGTCATAAGTGCTGGAGACATGCCAAGAAGCATACAAAGAAAATGTGGAAAAATTGAACGGTAAGCATGATTTTATTTAAGATATAACTTGTTCACAAAAATTGCTCAGAAATGTCAAATAATAAGCATGTACCAACAGATGGCCCTAAGTGAAGTTGGCTTTTACATTTATTGATATTGATTAAAGTTATTTTCCATTTTGGAACTTCCCAGGCACATAAAAATACATTTTTGAGACAACCAAATCTAAGACAACCTTTAGGGAAGACAGTATGTAAAACTCTACATAAAAAACTTCTGTGGCCAAGTAAAAAGAGAACTAAAGAATTTAACTAAAGTACTTTATTTTTCATATTAATAATTACATTTTCAAAAATGATACAATTCACATTATCAATAGCATAAATCTAGAGCTTAAAGTAGGAAATGTAACTGTAAACAGCCTATATACACTTTGCATTACTGATACAATTTTATACACATAATCCTATATACTATCCAATAATCTCCAGAGAAAAGACCTACAAATCTACTTGTCTAGACAGTAGACAACAATTTCTAAAATGAACCGAAATAAAGATTGCTCCTTCTCAACTGCATGTGGTGGAAATGCATATGTATGAAGATTAAATCTGAGATATTTATTACATTGAAGACATTTAACTCTGTTCCATGCCAGCCATGAGTGACAGTGCTAGAGATTCCACTGTGGGAAAAATAGAAATAAGGTTGGAAAAAAAAATGGTTTAAAACATCTGAATAAGGCTTTAATAAATTCAGAACTGAAAGTATTTAAAGACTTTTCTATTTTTAATTAAAATATTGATTATTTTTAATGTATAATCAAGATGATAATCTTTACTAAGTAAAAATTCAAAAAGTAAGATTTATTTCTATTTCAGATCATTTTAATTTTGAAAACAAAAAGTTTGTGCGTTTCACTGAACAAATCACATTTGTCTCATATGTCATAAAACCATATGGGTCAGTTCATCACAAAATGCCATGTTCTAACCTACGAATGGAATCTACTTGCATAAGAATCACCCAAAGCAACAATGGACAAATGCATCCATGTTTCCTCTAACACATTTCTAACAACATTTTAAAAAACGTTTAGCTCTTAATGAATATATTACAATTTGAATATGCAGAAATAGGGAAAAGATTAACCCTGCATACTTTTCCAAAGAAAAGTCGTGCAAAGAGATACTATTTAGCTCTTTGTTTTTGCAGATTAAATAGCTCTCTTCTCCCTGTGACCCACCCCAGACGCTGCCTGCTTCACATACTGTGTTCTAAACTGTCAGGCCTGCGTTTCCTTGTGCAAAAGGCAGCCTTGGAAGTTTCTAAGTTGCTAAAAAAAACCCCTCTATCTTTGGAAAGGGAATAGTTACAAAGGTTATACATGATAGTAAAGGGCAACCAAAACCTATTCTACCATCTGCTTTATTCAGTAACAGTTCTAGAACCACTGCTGTAACAAATGACACGCCAGACAGCACGACCGTTAGTCTCAGTGTCTTACATCTGACATTCATTTGTTCCATTGCTATTCTCAAAAAACAGTTCAAAGCACGGCACAACTGCTGAGGGACCTTCCAGGTTTGCAATGGTGAAAAATTCTAATCTTCATGAGGTCAGTACCAAAACTATAACACACAGACTTAGATACAAGAAAATATAAAAACTGTAATATTTTAACATGGTGTACTCACGATGGGGAAAGGATCCTCTACAGACGGCTTTGTTTAAAACGGTTACAAGAAACATATGGCAGTTTTTAAAATCAGACTCCATTTTCTCTATAGATTCCATTCTAGGAAAGAAGGTAAATTTCAGTTTAAGAAGTGCATAAGAGGTCAATAGGTAGGCTACAAAATACCTTTGGAGTAATGTTAAATGTACTTCAGTTTAATTATTTAGAATCCTAAGTCTAAAGATTATAAAATAAAATATAAAATTTCCTGCTTTACTTTAAAATAAAAACTTTCCAAGTATCTGAAGGAAACGCTCAGCAGGATATAAAACTTCTGTTTCAGGATGGCACTGAGTCCTGGAGCTAGGATGACTGGGGATATTCCCTTTTCCATTTGACAGGCCTGTGTTTTTACTTTTCATAAGCATATCTTCTTTTAGAAATAAAGAACACGTTAAAGATATGAAATCGCAAATTTTAAAATTATTATAAAACTTTTTACTATGGGAAATCAGACATATATAGGAGAGAACTACTCAGTGGACTTTCACATGCCCACACTCAAGACGAGCAGTCATGCAGCCCCAGGCAGTCCTACATACACCCCAGCCCCACCACATTGAGAAGCAATTTGAGACATCACAGCATTTCAGTCATAAATACTTCAGTGTGGATATATTAAAGATAAAGACTCTTTTTAAAACAAAGCTACAATACCATCTGCTTAAAAATATTTAACAATGATTTTTTATATCATCAAATAATCAGTGGTCAAATTTCACATTGCTTTTGCAATTTTTCACTTTTCTGCTTTAAGTTTGAATCAGGATCAATTAATTTCCATAAATTGCGATGGTTCTTATACTTAAGTCCTCCTCACTCCCTGCTTTTTTTTTTTTTTTTTTTTTTGAGGAAGATTAGCTCTCAGCTAACTACTGCCAGTCCTCCTCTTTTTGTTGATGAAGCCTGGCCCTGAGCTAACATCCGTGCCCATCTTTCTCTACTTTATATGTGGGATGCCTACCCACAGCATGGTGTGCCAAGCGGTGCCATGTCTGCACCCAGGATCCGAACCAGCGAACCCCGGGCCGCTGAGAAGCGGAACGTGCGAACTTAACTGCTGCGCCACCGGGCCGGCCCCAACCTGCTTTTTTCTTACAAGTTACATGTTGAAGAAACTGAAGCAGTTCAATTTCAGCAAAGCATATGCAGCAGTATTATTATTTTCTCCTTCACCCCCCAGTGACATGGAAAGAGAAATATACTTTACACACTTTGAGACAGCAAAAAGCAAGTAAGAAATCTGTTTACATCCCTGCAATTATGAATTTTACCTACTATCTTAGTTTCTTCATTCAGAATATTTTGATATAGGCATAGGTTAAGATTTTTAATTAAATTAGCACTATAATGGACTCTTACCTCCTCAGTAACACTGACTAGTATCGCAACAACCAGGTCATCCAGGCTCGCTTGCACTTTTATTTCAGGGAAGTAATGGCAGCATTATCATTGCATTAATTTTATAAACAAGACAGGGACAAACTACTGAGCTGTACACTGAAGCTAACAGTAGAGGATGGTGCTCTAGATCAAAGAGGAAGTTCCTCCTCACCTGTCGTCTGACTGCAGGGCACCTGCCTTTCTATGTGGCAGGTATGAATAATAAACACTCTGAAAGTAAAGTACAACTTTGGACTATAATCTACCATGATGTAGAGAATTTGTTGTAAAATAATTCAGCAAGTATGTGGGTGTGGTTGGTGAACAAAGATGAGAACTGCTGCTGGTAACTGCTGAAGAGGGGTGATGGGCACCCGGGGTTTGTCTGCTGTTTTCTCTACCTCTGTGTATGTCTGAAGGTGTTCATAACAAAAACTTAACAAAATCTATAAAACAAAACATGCATGTAATCTAAGAATATTTGCTTGTCCTAATTAAAAGACGTCAGTTTTTATTGTTTTACCACTCATAAAAGAATTGCACAATTCTTGATGTGGCCTAGTTTAGGTGAACAAATTCAATTATTCAATTCTTTCCCTAAATACAAGTATATGTGACGTATGGCCTAGAGGGAAAAAAAGGCTCCTAGATGAAGCCAGTTAAAAGGTAAGGCAAAACAGTCATAGCACAGAGGTTCCACAGGCCACATACTTACCGCCAAGCCCCCAGGCCCGCCTGCCAGCCCTCTGCAAACATGAGAGCCAAGTTCAACACCTTCATGATGGCTTCCTTCACAAAGCTGACCTGGAGAGCAAAGCCACAGAGAGAACACTGGCTCTGTAACTATGCTTGGACACTGACACCAACACTTTTACATAATTTAAATGAGTCACAGAAAACCCTCATCAGTGCAATGACTGCCTCCTACATCATAAGGAAGGTTTCGAGGCTCTGAATAGAGTGTACTTGGAATTGGTCCACACATCTACTGCACCTGTGATAGAGGTAGCAGTAGTAGCAGAGTCTGACAAATAGAGTAAGCTACCACATCCTGGGATGGCCATTTAAATTCACCACTGAAATAGAGCAAGTCAGTCCAGTGGCTGTAAAAATGACTTAATCCCCTGAATTCACACAAAGCTGGACATGCTTCCTGACTAAAGCACTATTACTCCACAGCTACAGATACAATTTTCCAACTGAATCCAAGTGCAGTGCAGAGTGAGTGAAGACTGTCACAGTACAGTTCTCAACTGTTTCTTTCAGGTATAATTTCTGATAATATGGCACACACTTATAACTTCATTTGATCTGGTTCTTCCTTAAAGAATATTCTGCAGAAAAGAAGCTTAATAAGTATAAAATTCCAAAGCAGCGGGACAACTTCCCTTGGCCAGCTTCACTCCTGCCTTGGTGGCCAAGTCTGCAGGTGACATCTCATGTACCTTTTCTCTCAGCAAACATCGATCATGGATGGTTGACAAATATCTATAGTGAATTTTAATCAACTGATCTAAATCCTTGGCTTCCTCAACTTGATGTTGAAACTCCAGCCCCGTACTGTGAAGAATCTTGGAAGAGAAAGATGAAAAGTTAAATCAGCAGATCAGCAGACTACTTTGAGGACTTGTATGCCAGACACAAAACTTTTTACCAACCTCTTCTACTCCTCTCAAATTCCTCCTTCAATAATCACATCTGTAGAGTTTATAAAGTACCTTCTTTAAAGGTTGACGTTCTTATCTAGAATGATGGTGGGGCCAGTCCTTTAGGACACACCCTTCACAGTGAATAAATGCCTCACTTTGGACTAGCAGACTGTTCCTGGGAGGGAGGGGCAAATATATCAAACTGTATAGAAAATACATTGACTTTTTAAAAACAATTATCAGTTAAATTGAATGTATACATTTTCGTGAGTTCCACTGTTTGTATATTGGTCTTTCTTTTAAAGGAGCATAGATATATTTTAAATAGAAAACAAAAAACAAATTAAGCAAATACTTAAACTCCTACCATTTATTCTCAACAATTAAAGGCTTAGGGCTGGCCCTCTGAAGCCCACTAAATCACGGGAAGCAGAGAGCTCTTCTGCCATATGCACCCTATCTAAAACAAAGGCTTCGAAGGCTCACTTCACCCAAAGGAGGTGGTTTTAGAACTTATATACCAGAATGACTACAAATGAGGTTTTTTAAGCAAGCTTTAAACCACAAATGAGTACTATCCTCCAAAAATACTGCTACTGTTCAAATATCTGAACTCCTCTTCCAGACTTCCTCTAGATCTCATTCTAAGATGTATATGAAAAGCAGTTTCATTTACTTTGTAATGAGTTACTTCTTGTTTTTGAGGAAAAAAGTATATAATCAGGCTGTATCTTCCTCCTTACATACTACACCAGCCTGACGGATTCTGGCTGTTACTAAAAATTGGTGTCATTTTCCAGGGACAGCTGTGTCACCACTAACGAAATTTAAAGAACTATGCAGCAAATTCTGAAGGCAATTCGAAAAGAGGAGCTCTGGGTGTGCCTGTCCCAAGGGGTCACTGGACAGGCGGGGCAGCAGTCTCTGGACACACATGCTCTGGAATATTTAAAAAAAATTCCCCCTGCTGCCATGTTATTTTATGATCAAATTTTTTATGTGTGCTATTTTCACATTTATAGTCTAGAAGTATTTTGTGGGCTCCTTTGTATTTATAAATATATCACAAATAATTCTCTATGAATAGCTGTATACAAGGGGACAGAACTGAGGCAGACACACAGACACGAACCCTGGTCATAATGTAGTTGTGCAAGCTGTTCACAAAGTGCATGAGCTTCACTCTCAAGAGGAACATACGATGAATCTGCTGTCTCACTGGTTCCTTTTGTGGTCCAAACTGAGCAGCTGTGTCTTGCTCACATAAAACTTCTTCTTTAAGTTGTGGTTTTTCAGCAGTACTAGCCAGTTCTGTAAAAGGTTGAAAGAGCAGAGTGGGTGGGAAGAGCATGTACTCAAACCCCAAACGCACACAGCACAGTCAACCCCACAAAGAGCACTCTGCCGGGTGTGCAGCAGGGACCCACCTCCAGTGTGTCTGGAAGGTGAAGCAGTGAAAAGTTCCCTGTGTCACTTTCATTATCACTGTGATTAAAATGTAAATGCAAAGTCCCGTTAACTTGTTATTAAAAATTTTTGCATAATCTATGAAGAATATTTTTTCTGGATAAATTCCTAATCAAGTTATTGTATTTCAGATTGAATGTAGTATAATTTCCTGGTATTTCATTCAGGGAAGTTAATTCTGATGTCTGTAAAACCGCTGCTACAAATACATACCATTTGGGCACTTGAGTATACATTAAAAAATGAGCAAAGATCACCACCTCTTTTTCTCAGGGCTAAAATAAAATTGTGATTTATCTCTTGAAAACAAATCTTACCACCAAAGAGTAAAACATCCAGACTATATTTTGCCCACTTTATTTGCAATAAGAGAAGGAACACCTGATTATAAATTTTTTGACATTCCAAACTTATAACAATGTCCACAGGCCATGGGACCTATGAGAACAAAACAGAAAATTAGAGGAGAAAGTAACCTATTACTTGCAGGTTTTAATAGAAAACAATGTTCTTACAAAGAGATTCAGAACATACCTTGTAGCTCAGGGTCAGACCATCTAAAATATGAACAGGGAGTTTCTTCTTAGCTGTGTCAACATTTTCAAAAGTTATAGATAGACTAGATAAAGAAATTTTAGTTTTAGTTTGTGTGAAAGTACTATGCTCATATAAAAATGTTCTTTAAAAAAAATTAGCATTTTAACATTTACATCATATTCCAAAAAAGACATTGTATTTCATAAAAGGAATACAAATATTCCAATAAAGCCATATTTTCCAGCATATATTCTAGAATAGGAATTTGGTTTTAGAAATAAGGAAGAGGGGCAAAGTTTTCAAATAATGAGTTTAGCTATAAAAGAGAAGAGATACTTAACAAGTGTGGTAAGTTAATTAGGAAAAAAAGACAAAGTCAGGGAAAAAGATACTATAGTTCCCCTTATCTGCAGTTTTGCTGTCCTTGGTTTCAGTTACCTACGGTCAACTGTGGTTTGAAAATATTAAATGGGTGAGACAGAGACCACATTCACATAACTTTTATTATAGTATGTTGTCATAATCGTTCTATTTTATTAGTTATTGTTAATCTCTTACTGTAGCCAATTTATAAATTAAACTTTATCATAGGTATGTATGTATAGGAAAAAAGGGTATATATATATAGGGTTCAGTACTATTTGTGGTTTTAGGCATCCATTGCAGATCTTGGAACATATCCCCTGAGGATAATGGGGGACTCCTGTATAATGATGATAGGGTGGGTGCTTAATTCTGGTAAAATTCAAGCAACAGGCTCAGAAGATGGACCCTCTGCAGAGGGTGGTGGAGAGGGATTGCTTTCCTCATCCTGAAGAGTGTGTGTGTGCAAGTGCATCGACGAGAACGGGGTCTGCTTTTACCATTCTCTCCTAACGCAGGTTTGAATGTGACTCTCAATAGAAAGAAAGCAACCAACGTGCTGCATGGAAACGTCCCTGTGCCAGGCACTACATGGCACTTAAGTGTCCTTATTTCATTTAATCCTCAGAGTAGTCCTGTCTGGGGACTGAGAAATTACCTAAAACTCCCACAGTTATAGAGGTACCAAGCAATGATGCCTGGATGCCGACCAGTGAAGGTTTAAGTGTAAGGCAGAGGTGGGGAGTCAGCCTTACAACCAGTGATGTAAAGAGTGGCATGTGATTTATAAATTGGCCTATTCATTGCATGTCACAGGCACTAGTCCCAACATTCTTCAGCTGATAAGTGTGTTACTTGTGCATCCACTAATTACTTAGTAGGCACCTACTGAAAATCTTGTCAGGCACCATGCTAAGCAGGTGAAAGAAAGTCAATTCCTTCTCCTTCTCCAGGCGCTCACAGCCCAGAGGAAATATGCAGAGTCACCCTCCTGTCACTGAGCAGATGTGGGTGCTGCACCAAGCCAGGCCAGGCAGAGCTTTGAAGGAGAGCAGAGCACTGCCAGGCCATGCAAATGGAAGAGCAAGTAACTGGAGACAGCAGGACACATGAAGGCTTCTGGGGGCAGAGTACAGCTTTTGGGGAAACCAGAAAAATTCTGAATCCCTGAAATGTAAAGTGTGATAGGAGAGAACATATGATGTGTCTGCATGTGTAAGTGTATACGAAAAGAGGCTAGAAAAATGAGCCAGACAGTAAAGTTTTCTCTCTGACGAAAAGCAGCTCAGTCCGTCTGTTATGAGGTGCCAATGAGAAGCCTGAGTGTGAGTGGTGGTGGGAGTTGCTGGTTTATTGTGGTCACTCTGGTGCCCCTGTGGGGGTCAAGTGGAAGGGAGAGAGGCTGAGAGACAGAGATGGTTAGGAGGCACTGAGAGTTAAGGGGAAACATTATCCAGGAGGCAGAATCAAGCAACTAGGGATGTGTGGGAACCAGGAGAGAGGAAGGAATCTAGGGTGAGCCACAGACTGCCTTTGAGCACCAGGATGAACAGTGGTGCTTGACTAGAAGAAACAAAGGGTGGTTTGGGATGAGACAATAATGAGCTCAGTTCTGGATACATGACATTCGAGTACAGTCATGAGGTGCTGACTGTGTAGACACCTGGGCTAAAGGTACTGATCTGCAGGTCATTAATGGTCGCTGAAGCCATCAACATGGAATATAAGTGCCCCAGGCAGGAGTGCTGAGGCAGGAGAGTGAGAAGCTACACCAAGGGCAGGTGGAGGGCAAAGGGCCTGCAGGGAGGCTTCAGAAAGAGCAACAGGGACATGGGAGCGGTGTAAGGCGGGGGAAACTGGGAAGGGCAGGAAAGCAGTGCTGGCATTGATGCTGGAACCAAGGAGACTCGTGGGCCCGGACTCAGTGAGCCTGAGGGCACAGACAGGCACCTAGAACACATGGAAGCCATGGCAGCAGGGGTCCCCAGGGGTGGCTCATTTGTCCTGGGTTAATTTATGAATGGACCGCAATCTCAATGAAAATACCATCAAGATTTTTGTTTCGGTGGAGCTTGACAAGTTGATGATAATGTACATTTGGAAAAATAAATAAGAAAGAATGGCCAGTAAACCTTATTATTAAAATAGAATGCTACTAGCACATGAATAAACAGACAGAACAATGAAATAAGATGGAAAAATCTACAAAGAGACTCAAGTACATATGAAAATTTAATGATAAAGGGGAATCTCAAATAGGGGAAAGACGGATTTTTTTTTTAAAAGAAATAAATGATAGGAACCAACTAGTCATTTGGAAAAAGATAAAACTGGATCTATTTCTCATGTTTTTTAGCAGAATAAATTCCAAGTGGATCAATATCTAAATGTAAAAAAATCCATTCAAGCATTAGAAGAAAAGATGAGTAAATTTCTTTAGAACATGGGAGAGAGTAAAACTTTAACTATGATTTAAAATCCAGAACCAATAAAAGACTGATACATTATAAAACTAAGAAACAAACAAAAAACAATAAAAAAAAACTAAGAAACGTCTGCATGACAAAACAAAAACAAAAAATTGTTTTATCATAAGCAGAATAAAAAGACAAATGTCAAATTGGAAAACCTATATAAAGAGTTTCTAAAAATGCAGGCGCTGAAGACCAATAACGCGATGCTGACAGAAATGCAAAAATAAACATATCTAAAGATGACTAAACTCATTCATAATTAGAAAAATGTAAATTAAACTACACTGAGATACCATTTCTCACCATTAGACTGGCTAAAATCCAAAAGTCTGACAACATATTCTGTTGGTGAGGCTGTAGAGAAAGCCACTCTACATATTGTTGGTAGGAATTAGAAAAGATACAACCTTTATGAAGAGAAATTTGGTAACAGCTAGCAGAATTACACATGCTTTTACCCTTTCACCTGGCAATCCTATTCTAGGAATATACTGCAAATTTATATGGGCAAAAGTATGAAGTGAAATGTACAAGACTAGCCATTGCATACATGCACAGCAAAAGAATAGAAACCCACATGTCTACCCATAGGACAACTGGTTGAAAGAACACAGTGGAAAGCCCGTCAGCTGTAAAGGAATGAGCACAAGCTCTCTAGCCTGCAAATGGAGTAGGTCGGGATATATTTTAGTTATGTAAGAAAAATAAACCAGGTGTCAGAGAGTATGTACTACACGCTACCTTTATGTAATGTGAGGAGGAAAAGGAATACACAAACATATGTTTTTGGGTCCAAAAAATAAACACTAGAAAGATAAAACAAATCTAATAAAAATGGTTAGCAACAGGGAAGGGAGAAAATGGGCAGGAACAGGAATAGAAGGCATATCTCCCTAAAAGTACCTTTGTACCAGTGATTTTAACTTAAGAAAAATATGCTGTTTTAGTAAACAAGAAAGAAAATTCAATCAAGAAAAGAAAAAAAGCAATTTCTAAAAGCAGAAAAGAAACTAAAACAAATGAACTTGACCCTATGTCAAGGTGGTGGCATAATCACATAAAGAATTACTCCAAGTGACCTTGAAACACAGGATTCTGATGACTTCAAAGTATAGGAAGAGAAAATAATCACAAGCATGTTTTAAATTCTTAGTGGCCTTGTTGCTGTTATTGTTACTTTGAAATTACTACTACTTATTGTAGAATAAAACCAAAAAGCATGTTAATGTGTTAGCACTCATAGGAAGAGATACAAAGGAAAATCAAAGAAGTGAAATGCTGTAATCTTTAATATAAGTTGGAAATATCTACATGAACATTTTTCTGTTTCTACTTATTTCCTAGCTCCATCCACTGAGAGAGCCCAGAAGCAGGGACAATCCAGTACAGAGGAATACTCCGGCACCGAGACGGATGGCTTTTTAAGCCACCAAAGAGACAGGACAAGCGCTCGTGGGAGAGGCACACATGTTGGGGGCAGGAAGTGCACAGGATGAGCCTGGACATCCACTCTTGAAAGGATACTCTCTGAGATTACCACGGTCAAGTGAAGGGGTTCCCTCTAGGTAAAGATGGGACAGTCTGAGCAACAAAAAAAGGATAACTGTAATAGATTGAAACATATTAAATCTAACAAGATTCAAGAGTTTCTGCTGATAATGAAAAACATAACCTTCCCTAGCTCCCTCTGGGGGTTGCTGGGCACCAATTTCTTATTATGAAAAGAATCTAGCAGTTACCCTGCTTTTACTAACCACATAATTGATGAAAATTCTGCATTTATGGAAGAATTAAAGGTAATAAAAGAATGACATAGAAATAAAAGGAATAATCTACTAAGTAGTAGAAAGTTGGTAACCTGGTGTGGTTGTGGGAAGAGAATGCCTTACCTGGCATGTAATGAATGTTAACCATTATCATGATGACTTTTGCAGGACCACTGAGGGAGCCAAGAAAGGAAGCCAAGCAGAGACATGAAACAGGAAAGAGGATGGCCAAACACTGTGGAAGATGAGCCTCTGCTCCACAGAGACGTGGCGATACCAACCCCCAGCTCTGGCCAGTCGCTCAGCAGGCAGACTGACACAAGCAAAGGGCAGGTTAGCTCCACGTCAGGGATAAGCCAATAGAGGTTTCCTCCATGATCCAAAAGCTAGCTTTTACGAAAAACCTATATTTGTACCTGTTTTTGCTAACTGAAAGAAATCTGACAAGGATGTTCGCTTTTATGAAAAAAGGCAAAAAGCAAAAACAGCGTTTAGCACTTTTTTTTTTTTAAAGATTAGCACCTGAGCTAAAATCTGTTGCAGATCTTTCTTTTTTTCTTTTTTCTTCTTCTTCCCAAAGCCCCCAGGTACACAGTTGCATATCCTAGTTGTGAGTGCCTCTGGTTGTGCTATATGGGACGTCGCCTCAGCATGGCCTGATGAGCAGTGCCATGTCTGTGCCCAGGATCCGACCCCGTGAAACCCTGGGCCGCTGCAGCGGAGCAGTGAACTTAACCACTCAGCCACGGGGCGGCCCCAGCACTTGCTTTGCAGTGAGTCGTTACAGAGGCAGTGCCCACCAGGAGCAAGGCCAGAGTTGCCAAGCTCCTTCCCTGGGAACTACACTCAGGATCAAGGTGCCAGAGCTCTGCACTGTGTCTGTGAGCATCTGTGCTTTACCTCAATTTATTTTGGTAGGTTATTTTTCGGGTCTGGGAACACTCAAAATTTTTTCCCATATAAATTAATGGTAATTGCTTTATCGCTTTACGCCATTTTGGCTTAAGAAAGCTTTCATAGGAAAGTTCTACTTTTGGACAACAGGGGAAACCTGTATAACAGTTTTAGAACATGCAACTTCACCCATTAAGTGGCAGAATCTATTTCCCACCCCTGACTGGGCTGGCATGTCGCTCGGTTTCACCAACTGCATGTGGTGGAAGTTAGGGTCTGTGAGGCCTGGAGCTCAAGTTTCAGCAGGCCCTGAGGGTTCTGCTCTCACTGTCTTAGAGCGCTGACCGAGACTACTGTGTAAGGAGTCTGTGCAGCTGGCTGGAGGGCAAGGCACATGGAACCGAGAGATGCCACAGCCAAAGGCCAGCACTGACTCTAGTCACGTGAGGGAAGCCATCAGACTCTGAAAGGCTGCATGGTCCCATCTCATCGTCTCCTTTCGCTTAGTGGGCAAGTCATTTAGCTACCTGCTGTCTCAGTTTTCTAATTTGTAAAATAACATTGGTAAACTTCATAGGTTAGTGTGAAGATTAAATAAGGTAATATATATAAAAATTTATAGAAGAGTTGTGATACATGGATTATTTCATAATATTTTAAAATAAAAGTTTGCTCCTGTATTTTACCGTGAACTGTCTTCAGGATAACGTTGTCCTACTGCTTCTTGGAGCTGTACATTAAGAAATGACACATTCTGCCAGGTTTCCTTTTCTCTTATTTTATCAAAAATTGATGTGTAGAAGTCATACATGGTATCTCCACCTTCCATTAAGAAAAAATTTCTCATGGCCTGCAAGTACTCGACCAACCTGAATAGAGAGAAAATAAGTGACAGAAAGATCTTAAGCTCATCAGACAGGATTCTGGATCAGTACCAAGTATTGTATGCTACTATTTTTAGAGAAAACTGGTTTACATTCTACGTTTACTAAAATAAGAAATACTAACACCTCTTAAAGACATTTTTAATAATAAAAATGTTTAATTATCAGAAAGAAATAAATGATTTTTTCATAACATTGTAGAAAATTGGGCAAAGTCACAAAAGTGTAACAAAAAAAAGTTAATCCAAATCCTACCATTCATAGTGAATTTCCATCGTTAATATTTGGGCTATTTATTTCCAGTCTTGTTTTCCATGCATTTAAAAAAACACAGTTCCTATCATATTATATATCTTGCTTTTTAAGCTTTAAGAACATTTTACATTATTTAAAACTCTGTGTAAACATAATTTTTATGAACTTTATAAAGTTCATACATGATATTGATATGCCATATTTTAATATGGATATGCAATAATTTAAAGAAATAGTCATTCATTACTAAGTAATTTCATGTTTTCCCTTGTGATAGCAAACTCTATGATGGGCATTTTTGTGCAATAAGCTTTATTTCTTTTGGGACAGAGTCTCAGAAATAAATTCCACAACATAGTTAAGAAAACACTGATGGTTAATTGATTCTCTCAAAAGAAAACTGTTTATTGCATACCCATTTCCTACTATAATAAAAATTAACTTGAAATACAGGTTTTAAAATAATTCCAACAGTTCTTAAAGTATAATAAACTACTGATTACTTCCAAAGCTAAACGACTCCCTTATACCTGTAATCTTTTTTTAGAGTTTGCATGAGGTTTCCACAGCAATCAAGATACTGCTTGTCAATATGAGGATAGAGGCAAGATCTCAGCGTTAACTCAAATGTCTGGCACGTCACAGATTCTGATGATCTATCCACACATATATCTCCACCAGCAAACTTCTCGTGAAAGTCACTCTGTTCTAAATACAACCTTTAAGATAAAAATGTGAGTCTATTTTTTATGAGCTGCTTTCAACAGAATTCTCTTAAATCAAAACTCCAGAGTCCCATTTTTTACCTTTAGTCTTAAAATTACCAACTATTACAGAAACTATATTCCCCCAAAACTGTCCTTTCAGTGAACCAGTTGTTCAGTCACTTCTGCTTTAGTGTTAAGTACTGAGTAGGTCTTTCTAGCCATTAGGGCCACAGAGAGTGAATGATGGCCAAAGGCAATGGGGCTTTGTGTAGGTATTAATGACTTATTTTATGGGGCTAAAAGCACATAAGGGTCAAGACATATTTTAAGCAGAAGAAGGGTCTGACTCAATGTGTGTGTCTGAGGCCCACCTATGACCTAGATTTTCATGAGCATCTTCTGTACCAGTGAAAGCATTTCCCATGGGCCTAGGGCATATGATAGTCTGTGGACTTTCACAAACAACAAGGAGGACAAATTATACATCTGAAATAAGTGAACATAATATCTTCTTGTATTCCATTCATCAAGAAGGATAGGCTACAAAGGTTTTTATTTTTAAGACTGGAAAGCCCTACTTGGCAGAAATAAATAGTTGCTAAACATTGAACAGATTCCGCCATTTCAGTCATCGAAAATCTAGCAGGTGTGTATCACCTTGCAAAGTTAATTGCCAGCAGTGGATCATGAACGTCATCCAGTTCCAGATGCCTTTCAGCAATGGACTGAATCTTAATTAGGTTCCCTTTGGTCTCCTGCTGCTCAGTGAGGACTTGTGCAGTGGGTTCTTCCCCATGTCGAAGACGTGACTGTACAGATTCCAGAAAGAGGGTATACAAGCTTTTTCTTTCTGCATCTGGAACATAAAGAAATATGCAAGGTGAAGTAATAACATTAAATGATATTAAGTAATTGTATCTTAATATAGCCTGTTTTTTTTCCTTTGGCCTACGAGTGTCTATCCCTGTTTCATTACCTTTACAGTATAGCACAGCTAAACATTTTACATCCTCTGTTAGACAAGTGCAAAGTTCATGGTTAAACACTCAAAGCATAAGTTAATTTTTTGCTGAATAGAGTAATATCCTAAGCAGGATGCTTGAAAGTTAAGTTACCACCATACTGAACAGTACTATGATCACACTAACAGGAGTCATAATTTCACCGGAAAAAAACACTTCCGATAGAGACCCTGGAAAGCTCATTAAATTTTATTACTCAGTCAAAAAAGAAATATTCCAGGGGCTGGCCCGTGGCCGAGTGGTTAAGTTGGTGCGCTCTGCTTCAGCGGCCCAGGGTTTTGCAGGTTCAGATCCTGGGCGCGGACAAGGCACCACTCATTGGGCCATGCTGAGGCGGCATCCCACATGCCACCACTGCAGGGACCCACAACTAAAATATGCAACTATGTACTGGGGAGCTTTGGGGAGAAAAAAGAAAAATAAACCTTAAAAAAAAAAAAGAAATATTCCACAAACTGAAAATATTATTTAAAGTAGATACAATAATACAAAATAATTAATATGACATTAGGGAGATTTACAAACAAAATAACTAAAGTCACATTTATACCTCTAAAGTCTTTTTAGTCAGTTGATAAAACTTTAAGCATATTGCTTAAATTGCAACAAAAAGATCAGAAATTATATCAAGATTTTCTCAAAATCTACAGTCAAGTCTGAATTGCTCATCAACAAATTCCTGTCTCCCAGGGTTCATGGTCCTCAAGAGTTAAATGCTGTACTGCACTAAGAAATGCCAGAGAATTATTTTTTAAAGGACTGGTCCTAAGGAATCAAGAGTAAGGAAAATGCATGTGGAACTTACTCTCACTGCCTTTCAAACATAGTGATGAAAGTTTCCAATGAGGACAATCTTTTTTCAATCAGGAGTAGCATGATCTACTGATTTGATCATGGTGATAATTTCCATGAAAATAAAAGCTTTTGATAATTTTCAAACTACAAAATAATGATGCATCTCAGGATGACAAGAGTGAAGAGAGAGTAGTAGCCCCAATGCTGAGAGAGACACATGAGGAAGGGACCCACTACCTCTGGCTGTGGCCTGGCATGTGGTGCTCTCCGCACACTGCAGGTTCTTCAGCAGCTGCATCGACTTGCCCGCCATTATGATCTGCTTAAGGACAGGTTTAAGGAAGGACACCATGGTGTGCTGCCTGCTGGAGGGCCCTTGGTCACTGCCAGAACTTGCACTGGCATTATCACTCATTTTTTCTTCATTTTCTGTCTTTTCCGATACACTGTACAGTGTGTAAGTTGCATACCAAAAGTCTCTGTGATTTACTGGAACATTTTTGTTTCTATGGAAATGCAAAAGAATTTTAAATGTTAACTTTTTTCTTAAAAACAACAGTACATCTGTTCTTTCTCAGGCATGTTGTCCAGGCATTCCAAAATACAGCAATATCAATTATTAGTAAAACGAAGCAATCTTCAGGCAAAATGGGCAGGGGTTTTATCTGACTTCAGTTTAACATAGAAAAGTGGATAAATACTTTGAATGACATACATAAAATTTAACTAAGTAGAAAGTTTCTCGAATTGGAATTAAACAAAATGATTAATTTGCTCCTCTTTGGAGATAGAATAAAAGTTTATCCATTTGCCGTCTCCTGTGAAAGTAACCTCCAGACTTCCACATCTTTTTACCACATAGATTCCTTTTTTTCCCCCCTGAGGAAGATTGGCCTAGAGCCAACATCTGATGCCAATCTTCCTCTTTTTTGCTTGAGGAAGACTAGGCCTGAGCTAACATCTGTGCCAATTTTCTTCTATTTCGTATGTGGGCCACTGCCACAGCATAGCTGATGACTGGTGTGGGTCTGTGCCCGGGATTAGAACTTGGAAACCTGTGCTACTGAAGCAGAGTGCCCCAGACCTAACCACCATGCTATGGGGCCAGGCCCTCCCCACAAAGATTCTTAACAACAAAGTGATGGTCACTTATCACTCTCTAAAAGCAGTCAGAATCCCCTTTTTACAAAAGTTCTCATGTGAGATAGATGAAACAGGATATAATGACAGATGCAAGATTTAGTTAAAGACAGGCCAGCTCATTTATATGAGCACTGAGTAAACAGGGTTACCTTTCCAGAGTTCTAAGGACTTAAAGTTATCCTTGAACTAAATGGATTGCTCTCAATAAAAACCTCTATCTAAACAGACTGCACAACTTAAAACTGAGTTAAGAGAGTGCCAACAGTTCTGTGTTGCAGTTTCTATGATTCTGTTCAGAACAGTCAATTAACTGAAGAGGAATCATAAGTGGATTAAGATTTTTCCTTGTTTTACTATACAGTATACTAAGAAGGGAAAAAAGAATAATTTGGAGAAACAAATATATTAGAAGCATATTCTGCATTATTTTCATATCTCTTATCTTATTGGTAATTTATAATGGGAATAGCTGAAGTCATTTGATATCATCTAAATTCATTTTATAGAAAGCAGTGCACCTTTTACCATACCAGCCAGCCATAAACACACCATCATTCAGAAATATAATTTGCTATGCAGAGCTGTAAACTGACAAGAAACTTGGAAAAAGACTATTTTTGGCTGGTACATGACATCTTCTATAAAAATGCAACAGAACCTGAGTATGGTAGCAACACACCTCTGTCATTTGAACTGCTCTCCCTCAGTATCACTTGAAACTACTCAAAGTGAACAATTTTCCCATGAGAGAAAAAAGGGTAAAACCAGTGCTCAGTGTGTCTCCTGTGCTGTGTGTCGCTGGCCCTCACCTCTGGATGATGAACTCCCTGGCGCAGTCACAGAGATGCCCGTGTGCAATCCACTCATCCACAGTCTGCAGGTAGGGCCGCACTGTCTCCACCCAGAGAGAGAAGAGCAAGGAGACCTGAGAAGAGATCATGCAAAGTTCATTCTCAGAAATCCCTCATCTCTGGACAAAATGAGGGTTGAACATTTCTGAAATGCCTTTAGAGTTTTCTGGAACAAAGTAATAAATTAAAAATCCAAAACATGTGCTATAAAATCCTTATGAAAAATTCACCTAAATATGAGCTAACCACATTGTCTGTAGTCCATACCAGGACCTTCTTGAGAGTAAAAGTTAACCATGGACAACAGCTCTACCCTGGGCAGTCTAAATTCATATAGTTACCCCTATCTAAATAGTGCTACTAGCAAAATGTCCATTAAGAATGAGGAAATGATTTCATTCTACTGCAGCTCCCACAGGAAAAAAAAAAACGCACAGGTGAAAGAAATCAAGCTTCTTTATATTGAAGCATAGTATCCAAATAGTGAGAAACAGGTACAACGACAAACTAGGAAACACACCTAAAATAGGTACTCAAACAAACCTGAAGCTTCCTAGATTACAGACTCTAGTTAGGTTGTTATTTTTTTAAATTGTAAAAAAAATACATAGCATAGGAGTAGTCTTCTTTGTCTCTCCCCCTTTGAATCTACAACTAATTGGACATTCATCGCTTAACAAAGGATATCCATATAGCATCTCAGGACGCCTGAGAGACCCATGCTGCTATACATCGGAAGGCGGACGGACATCCCCCTGGGAGGAGGTGGAGATAGATGAAAACTCTCTGACCCCCGACCCCCGAACAGCCTAGTACCTGCAAGTGGCTTTCTTCCAGCGGACTCCCCCATAACATCGCCACGCACCAAGGGCAGGAGGGTGCGCACACCAGAGGAGCGACGGTGGAAACAGGTGACTACAGCCCTACCTAAGCCCCCCTTGATTACACCTAAGCCCAGGGGGAAACTCCAGGGTCCCGCACTGGCGGCGTCAGGGAAAGCCTCTACTCGCCATTAGTGGAGAGGCTCCGCCCAGCATTGAGAATACTGGGAGGCTCCCGAAGAGGAGAATCCTGAACGGGGCAGCGGCCCGCCAGCGGCTGCAGCCAGTCTCACAGACTCTGGCTGTCCCCCAGATGGGGAAAGGGGCTCCCGGAGAACTCCTGGGAAAGGACCGGGGCTAGGTGGAGTTCCAGTGGCCGCCTCCACGGCCCAGAGGGAAACTCCAGGGTCCCGCTCCGGCAGCAGGGAAAGCCTCTACTCGCCATTAGTGGAGAGGCTCCACCCAGCATTCAGAACGCCAGGAGGGTCCCAAAGAGGAGAATCCCGGGCAGGGCAGCAGCCAGCCAGCCGCCACCGGACTCACAGACTCTGGCCCCGCCCGGCAATCACAAGGCTGGAAGGCCCTGGGGCAAAAGTAGCATAGCTAGGTGAGCTAACCACAGACTGCAGAAGATACCCATAGCTCTGTTGTAACCTATAAGTGATATGATAACAAGTGAGATTTTGTGGGCTCCGACAGTGACAGAGCTGCAAATATAGGTGATCCTGCTCCCGGCCGCTGGGAAAGCCCATAACACCGCTTCAGACCGCAAGGAGGGAGCATGTCTAGGTGGTCTGCAACAGTAGGCACCAGCAGTATGAAGCCCCCTTGCGACTGCCCCCACAGCTGAAGAGGGACCCCACAGGACCACTGTGACTACGAGGAGGGGCCCAGGTCCAGATAGCAACAGCTGATAGGGTTCCTGGTCGGTGCAGTCTAAACAGCTGCTCCCCTGCCACACCAGTAGAAACAAGTGGAAGCAGTAACTAAACTCTCTCTCTATGCAGAGGCACAAATCTACACCATCAAGAAGTATGAAAAAATATATTAAATCTCCAGAACAGAAGGAAAATGACAAATACCCAGAAAACAATCCCAAAGACAATGAAATATATAACCTAAATGATGATGACTTCAAAACAGCCATTATTAAAAAACTGAATGAGTTAAAAGAAAATACAGATAGACAATTCAACGAGTTCAGGAGCTACGTCACAAAAGAGTTTGATACTATAAAGAATAACCAAACAGAAATATGGAAATGAAGAACACAGTGGAGGAGATTAAGAAAAATCTGGACTCTCTGAACAGTAGGGCCGATAATATGGAGGACAGAATTAGCAATTTGGAGGATGGGAATATAGAAATGCTGCAGGCAGAGGAGGGGAGGGAACTAAGACTAAAAAGAAATGAAGAAACTCTCCGAGAATCATCTGACTCAATTAGGAGATGCAACATAAGGATTATAGGTATACCAGAGGGAGAAGAGAAGGAGAAGGGGGCAGAAAGCCTGTTCAAAGAAATAATGGCTGAGAACTTCCCAAACCTGGGGAGAGAGATGGAACTTCATGTAACAGAAGCCAAGAGATCTCCAAACTTTATCAATGCAAGAAAACTAACCCCAAGGCATAGAGTAGTGAAGCTAGCAAAAGTCAACGACAAAGAGAAAATACTAAGGGCAGTCAGGCAGAAGAAAATAACCTACAAAGGAACCCCCATAAGGCTATCAGCAGATTTCTCAACAGAAACTTTACAGGCTAGAAGAGAGTGGAATGATATATTCAAAACTCTGAAGGACAAAAACCTGCAGCCAAGAATACTCTACCCAGTGAAAATATCCTTCAAATATGATGGAGAAATAAAAACTTTCCCGGGTAAACAAAAGTTAAGGGAGTTCATTGGCACAAAACCTCCTCTTCAAGAAATGCTCAGGAAAACCCTCATACCTGAAAAATCAAAAAAACGAAAGGGGCTACAAAACCAAGAGCAAAGGAGATAAGTAGAAGGACAATAACAGAAAGTAGCAGCTCTCCATCAGAACAGGTTAGCAAAAGTTAAATAAAACATTAAAGATAAAAGGAAGGGAAACACCAAGAATAAATATAACCCTGTCATTTTAACCACAAACTCACAACACAAGAAAGAAGAGGAAAAAAAAATCTGACAATAACAACCTACAAGGGCAAGAGAAAAGGGATGGAACATTTTAATTCAAAGAAATAAGAGGCTATCAGACAATGGACTATCTCATCTATGAGATGTTTTATACAAACCACCTGGTAACCACTAAACAAATAACAAGAATAAAGACACAAATTACAAAGAAGAAGAAACCCAATACAGAAATTTACATACCTGAATTAGTAATCCAAAAATCATGGGACGAGAAACAAAGGAAATGCAAGAGAACCGGAAAACAAGAGATAAAATGGCAGCGGTAGGCCCCCACATTTCAACAATCACTCTAAATGTAAATGGACTGAACTCTCCAATCAAAAGACACAGAGTGGCAGGATGGATCAAAGAACAAGACCCAACAATATGCTACCTCCAGGAAACACAACTCAGCCTCAAAGACAAACACAGACTCAGAGTGAAGGGATGGAAGACAATACTCCAAGCTAATAATGAACAAAAGAAAGCAGGTGTCGCTATACTAATATCAGACAAAGTAGACTTCAAAGCAAAACAGATAAAGAAAGACAAAGGGGGACAGTATATAATGATGAAAGAGACACTCCACCAAGACGACATAACACTTATAAATATATACACACCCAACACAGGAGCACCAAAATTTGTAAAGCAACTCTTAACAGAACTAAAAGGAGACATTAACAACAATACAATAATAGTAGGGGACCTCAACACCCCATTAACACCAATGGATAGATCATCCAGACGGAAAATCAACAAGGAAATTATAGAATTAAATGAAAAACTAGACCAGATGGACTTAATAGATATATATAGAACACTTTTCTCAAGTGCACACGGAACATTCTCAAGGACAGACCATATCTTGGGAAACAAAGCAAGCATCAATAAATCCAAGAGGGTTGAAATAATATCAAGCATCTTTTCTGATCATAATGCTCTGAAACTAGAAATCAACTACAAGAATAAAGCTGGGAAAGCGGAAAAAATGTGGAGACTAAACAACATGCTACTGAACAAACAATGGATTATTGAAGAAATTAAAGAAGAAATCAAATATTATCTGGAGACAAATGAAAATGAAAACACGCCATACCAACTCATTTGGGATGCAGTAAAAGCAGTCCTAAGAGGGAAATTCATTGCAATACAGGCTCACCTCAATAAACAAGAAAAATCTCACATAAGCAACCTCAAACGACACCTAACAGAATTAGAGAAAGAAGAACAAACAAAGCCCAAAGTCAGTAGAAGGAGGGAAATAATAAAAATTAGAGCAAAAATAAATGATATTGAAACAAAAAAGACAGTAGAAAGGATCAATGAAACAAAGAGTTGGTTCTTCAAAAAAATTAACAAAATTGACAAACCCTTAGCCAGACTCACTAAGAAAAAAAGAGAAGTCTCAAATAAATAAAATTAGGAATGAGAGAGGAGAAATCACAACGGATACCAAAGAAACACAAGAGATCATAACAGAATACTATGAAAAACTATATGCCAACAAATTGAACAACCTAGAAGAAATGGATAAATTCCTAGACTCTTACAACCTCCCCAAACTGAATCAGGAAGAAATAGAAAATCTGAATAGACCAATCACAAGTAAAGAAATAGAAACAGTAATCAAAAACCTCCCCAAATATAAGAGTCCAGGACCAGACGGCTTCTCTGGAGAATTCTAGCAAACATTCAAAGAAGATTTAACACCTATCCTTCTCAAACTATTCCAGAAAATTGAGGAAGATGAAGCACTCCCTAACACATTCTATGAAGCCAACGTCACTCTGATCCCCAAACCTGACAAGGACAACACAAAGCAGGAAAACTACAGGCCGATATCACTGATGAACATAGATGCCAAAATCCTCAACAAAATTCTGGCAAACCGAATACAGCAATACATCCAAAAGATTATACACCATGATCAAGTGGGATTTATACCAGGGACACAGGGATGGTTCAACACCTGCAAGTCAATCAACGTGATACACTACATTAACAAAATGAGAAACAAAAACCACATGAACATCTCAATAGATGCAGAGAAAGCATTCGACAAGATCCAACAGCCATTTATGATAAAAACCCTCAATAAAATGGGTATAGAAGGAAAGTACCTCAACATAATAAAGGCCATATATGACAAACCCACAGCCAACATCATACTCAATGGACAAAAACTGAAAGCCATCCCTCTGAGAACAGGAACAAGACAAGGGTGCCCACTTTCACCACTCCTATTCAACATAGTACTGCAGGTGTTGGCCAGAGCAATTCGGCAGGGAAAAGAAATAAAAGGGATCCAAATAGGCAATGAAGAAGTAAAACTCTCACTGTTTGCAGATGACATGTTATATATAGAAAACCCCAAAGAATCCATAGGAAAACTATTAGAAACAATCAACAGCTACAGCAAAGTTGCAGGGTATAAAATCAACGTACATAAATCAGTAGCATTTCTATACGCTAACAGTGAACTAACAGAAAAAGAACTCAAGAACTCAATCCCATTCACAATCGCAACGAAAAGAATAAAATACCTTGGAATAAATTTAACCAAGGAAGTGAAAGATCTATACAATGAAAACTACCAGACTTTCTTGAAAGAAATTGATGATGACATAAAGAGATGGAAAGACATTCCATGCACATGGATTGGAAGAATAAACATAGTTAAAATGTCCATTCTACCTAAAGCAATCTACAGATTCAGCGCTATCCCAATCAGAATCCCAATGACATTCTTTACAGAAATTGAACAAAGAATCCTAAAATTCATAGGGGGCAACAAAAGTCCCCGAATTGCTAAAGCAATCCTGAGGAAGAAGAACAAAGCCAGAGGCATCACAATCCCTGACTTCAAAACATACTACAAGGCTACAGTAATCAAAACAGCATGGTACTGGTACAAAAACAGGTGCGCAGATCAATGGAACAGAATTGAAAGCCCAGGAATAAAACCACACATCTATGGACAGCTAATCTTCGACAAAGGAGCTGAGGGCCTACAATGGAGAAAAGAAAGTCTCTTCAACAAATGGTGCTGGGAAAACTGGACAGCCACATGTAAAAGAATGAAAATTGACCATTCTTTTTCACCATTCACAAAAATAAACTCAAAATGGATCAAAGACCCAGATTAGGCCTGAAACAATAAGTCTTCTAGAAGAGAATACAGGCAGTACACTCTGACATCAGTTTCAAAAGAATCTTTTCGGACACCATAACTCCTCAGATGAGGAAAACAATAGAAAGAATAAACAAATGGGACTTCATCAGACTAAAGAGCTTCTTCAACACAAGGGAAAACAGGATTGAAACAAAAAAACAGCCCACTAATTGGGAAAAAATATTTACAAGTTACTTATCTGACAAAGGGTTAATCTCCATAATGTATAAAGAACTCACTCAGCTCAACAACAAAAAATCAAACAACCTGATCAAAAAATGGGCAGTGGACATGAACAGACATTTCTCCAAAGAAGATATATGGATGGCCAATAGACACATGAAAAGATGTTCATCATCACTAATCATCAGGGAAATGCAAATCAAAAGTACACTAAGATATCACCTTACACCTGTTAGAATGGCAAAAATATCCAAAACCAAGAGTGACAAATGTTGGAGAGGTTGTGGAGAAAAAGGAACCCTCATACACTGTTGGTGGGAACGTAAACTGGTGCAGCCACTATGAAAAACAGTATGGAGATTTCTCAAAAAGTTAAAAATAGAAATACCTCATGACACAGCCATCCCACTACTGGGTATCTATCCAAAGAACTTGAAATCAGCAATTCCAAAAGTCCCATGCACCCCTATGTTCATCGCAGCATTATTTACAATAGCCAAGATGTGGAACTAACCCAAGTGCTCAGCACCTGACGACTGGTTAAAGATGATATGGTATGTATACACAATGGAATACTACTCAGCCATAAAAAAGGACAAAATCATCCCATTCACATCAACATGGATGGACCTTGAGGGTATTATGTTAAGCGAAATAAGCCAGACAGAGAAAGACGAACTCTGTATGACTCCACTCATAGGTGGAAGTTAACATATAGACAAGGAAAACTGATTGGTGGTTACCAGGGGAAAGGGGAGGGTGGGGGGAGGGTACAAAGAGTGAAGTGGTGTACCCACAACATGACTAACAATAATGTACAACTGAAATTTCACAAGGTTGTAAACGATGATAATCTTAACAACAAAAAAAAAAAATACATAGCATAAAATATACTATCTAAACCATTTTTAAGTGTACAGTTTAGTAGTGTTAAGTGTATTCACATTGCTGTGAAAACAGACCTCCAGAACATTTTCATGCTGCAAATCTGAAACTCTGTACATATTAAACGTCTCCCCTTTTCTTTTCTCCCTGCCACCCCATCCCTGGTAACTACCATTCTACTTTCTGTTTCTATAAATTTCACTACTCTAGTCACCTCATATAATAGATTTGTATTTTTCTTTAAGAAAGGGTTATTGCAAATATCTATATAAGTCAGCGAGGTACTTTCATTTATTTATTTTTTGAGGAAGATTAGCCCTGAGCTAACATCCACTGCCAATCCTCTTTTTCGCTGAGGAAGATTGACCCTGAGCTAACATCTGTGCCCATATTCCTCTATTTTATATGTGAGACACCTGTCACAGCATGGCTTGATAAGTGGTGTGCAGGTTTGTGCCTGGGATCCAAATCAGCGAACCCCAGGCCACGGGAGCAGAGTACATGAACTTAACCACTACCAGCCCCTCAGCCAGGTATTTTTCACACCTTGCTTTTACGTTTTGCTTTGTCCTTACCTTATCCTTCTTGTGATCTTGGAAATCATAGCTGAAAAACCAGTTTCCTGCAGTCTCGAATTTAGAAGCTAATTTAAAAACTTTGAACAACTGCCTGATACACCATGATTTAAGCATCACTTTTACAAAGAGCTATGACCGGCTTTCCACCACTCTTTTGGCTGAGCAGAACAGAGTCACATATTTTAGACTAGACAAGGGTCCCACATACGGTTTGCTCAGAGGCTTCTCCAACATTGTCATATTCAAGAATGGCCTTGTACAGCGTGTTGAGCAGGTGAGATGCCCGAACAACATTCCGAGTGTCAGGTGGAACTTCTGCTACTCCAGTACTAAACACTTTGTGCAGAACCTTGAGCTGAGCAAGTCGGGGTGACAACTTGTCTACCACTATTGCAAGAGTTATTGTTGTATCTGCAAATATCAAGAAATCAAACTCATTAGCAAGGAAAAATACTCGCACTCAAAATGTGACATAAATGCTAAGCCACTTATGGAAAGGCACAGCAAACTGGAGGGTGGTAGGTTTTAATCCCATATCACAAGGAACTAATTTCCCTAAAGAAAGAAGTCCCTAAAGAAAGAAGGGACAACTCAGCAGAAAAATAATTTATAAAGGAACTGACAGTTCATAAAAAAAAGAAATATAAGTGATTCTTAAACACACAGAAAGACACTCAACCTCATAATAAAAGAACGCAAATTAAAACTACATGGGCAAATAAAAAACAGAGTCAGTGGGTGACTGTTTTAGTGGGGGTGGGGATTAAAAAGAGGCGGCAAGAGCCAGTTCCTTCAACAGGATGGCACAGCTCTGAATCCTGAACGTGGAGGTGGTTATATGCATCCACACATGTGATAAAATGTCACAGAACTATACACAAAGATATTATTCCCTCCTTCCAAAAACCACAAACCTGTAAAACTGGTGAAACCCATGTCAGGTCTGCAGACTAGTTAACGTACTGTGCCCATGTCAGCTTCCTAGTTTTGATAACATACTATAATTACGCAAGGTATCACCATTGGGGGAAGCTGGGTGATGGGAACGTGGGACCTTTCTGTACTATTTTTGCAGTAGTTGTAAATAAAATTCAAGGGAGAAAAAAACCTACACTGGGTTACCATTTTACATTTGTCATATTGGTGAAGACCACAAAGTTTGATAACACACTGTGGGCAAGAGTGTGAGGAAACAGGTCTTCATATACCTGTTTACATCCTAGCAAGATGTAAAGTCATTTATCTGCACCTCTGTGGAGAACAATGTGGCAATATTTATCAAAATCACTTGTCATTGCATGCTCTTTGACCTAGCAACTCCACTCTTAAGAATTTACATGATAGGCTAACTTGCACCCTACACGTACAATTACATGCACGTAAGAGTTATCACCACAGCTCTGTTGGCAACAGCAAAAGATCAGAAACAACCTAAATGTCCATCAAAATGAGACTGGTCTACGATATATCCATACAACAAAACACCAACTTGTAAAAAAGAATGAGGCGGCTCTTTATATACATGTATGGTATAATCCTCAAAATTTAAATTAGAAAACAATTTGAAGAGAGCAGTGAATAGACTACTAGGCATGCATATGTGAATACGCATTGCTTGTACATGTCTAATTTATTTCTGGAAGGATGCAGAAGAAACTGACTACTTGGTTGCCTTTGGGCTGGGGAACTGGTGTGGCAGGAAGAATTTTCACTGTACATCTTTCTGTACTTTTTGGATTTTTAGAGAGATGAATGGCTTGAAAACACAAATTTAAAATAATTTAAAAAAGTGAATGTAGTCATGAGAATTACTTATTTGCCATGTAATTTTCAAACATTATATCAATTAATAACCTAAACTGCATTCAAAATATGAGTTATGTATCCTATGAGTAAAAGGGAAGAATATTTAAATACCATTACTGATGATGCACTTCTCAATTTCCGTAAGTTCCTCTTTAAAACTAATGAAGTATTTGTACAGGGCCCACATGAAAGCCTGGTATGTCCTAAAGGGCGGTTCAGTTGACTTCTTAGGAATGGAACCATTTCCAGGTAACATGCTTTCAGAGCTGTGCCCCATGACTTCATCAATGAACTCCTGGAGTCGAAACACAACCTGGCCATATGCTGCTATTTGTTCCAGCACTGATCGTAAACAGCTCTACAATATAAACAAACGGCAGTTACTTAAGTCAGTCTCCTGGACACATTCAAATTCATATCCCCCTCACTGTAAAATATTTCTTTTGTGACTGTTTTAAACAGTATGCTTAGCAGAAAACAAAGTAATAAAACAAATATTTAGTTTTATATTCAAAGGAAATAGTGTAAGCATTAATTTCTACAGAACACAGAAATGTGGCTTATACTTTTTAAAAACACATATAACATAAATGTACTATAGGCAACCACATTACAGTATACAGCTTTCCCAATACAGAATGACAGAAATAAAAAGCAAAAAACACAAATCAAGTCAAAACTAAATATGAACATCACAAACAATATTAAAGAATTCTCTAAGCATTGTAAAGATGGACAACTTAATTTTGCCTTTTGGATTTTAAATATATTTAGTAATTTTAATATTGCAAAATGGGTGTAAAGTTATATAACCACCATCATATTTATAAAATAAACCCTCTTATTTAATTTTAACTACAATAAATACAAATAACTTACATGTGTCAAATGAGTTACTATAATATTGTTTCTCACAGTTACCTTCCCATCTATCAACTGAAATATAAAGAGCTTCTTTACTCCTGAAAGTAACCTGAAATGAAATAAAAAAGATGAATGTACTTTAAGTCTAGAAAAATATTCACTACAGTAATGCCTAAGAAATTTTAATGCCAGATTCAGAATCGGGGGGGAGGGGCGGCAAAGAGGTCAGATAACTAGAAAATAGAAGACATGAATCTTTTTATCTGATTACCTTAAGACAAGATATTTGCATATCATCTTGGAGAGAAGTCCAAAACAGTATGTCCAAGCACTGGACCATCACATACGATGTGGATCAGAATCTGGAAATCTCAGCAGTAACAGCACTATATGCTGCATTTCTCATTTTCATTTTTGTGTGAACACAATCTAAATTCTTAGATTTCTGGTTTCCAGGTACGGGGCAGAGGCTAACTCTCATTGATATGCTGTCTATTATAAGCAGGAAGCAGCAAGCCAGGAAGCTTGCTTTGAACTCAAATATTAAAACAATGATGGTCTAATCTAATTAAATAATATACTTAGTTATTTAAGATGGAAAAGAAGTAAACAAATCAAAATGTCACATCTCCATGGTTGCATCTGAAATTTGGGCTCTTAGGCCCCCTAATCCAAATTTAGGTGCCCACTGGGAACTGTATTGTTTCATACCTACTGGCCCGTTTCTAGCTTGCATCTGAAAAACCCCTGAACACTTTTCTTTAAAAAACCAAAATTCTGCTTCTCATTAGTAAAGTCTTCTAGAAGATTAATTATGTGTATAGGTCTTACCATAGAGTTTCCCGAATAACCTGCATCTCAGTAACAAAAACTCTGTCATCTGGAACATATAATGGGTCACTGCTGTACAAGTGTTGGTCCCTATTAGAGAACGAACATCAGATGTCAATGAAAAGGTTTCTCATTAAGTAAAATTACATGTCTCAAAGAATATATGTAATTTAGTGGTAATTTAACCAGTAACCAATAAGCAAATAAACATAACATTATGCTTTAAATGCTCTCTCATGGGCCAACATCACTCTGATACCAAAACCAGACAAAGACAACAACAAAGAAGGAAAATTGCAGGCCAATATCACTGATGAACATAGATGCAAAAATTCTCAACAAAATTCTGGCAAATCGAATACAGCAATACATTAAAAAGATTATATACCATGATCAAGTGGGATTTATACCAGGGACACAGGGATGGTTCAACATCCACAAGTCAATCAATGTCATACACCAGATTAACAAAATGAGGAACAAAAACCACATGATCATCTCAATAGACACAGAGAAAGCATTTGACAAGATCCAACATACATTTATGATAAAACTCTCAATAATATGGATACAGAAGTAAAGTACCTCAATATAATAAAAGCCATATATGACAAATCCACAGCCAACGTCATACTCAATGGGGAAAAACTGAAAGCCATCCCTCTGAGAACAGGAACAAGATGAAGGTGCCCACTTGCACCACTCTTGTTCAACATAGTACTGAAGGTTTTGGCCAAAGCAGTTTGGCAAGAAAAAGAAATAAAAGGACTCCAAATAGGCATGAAGAAGTGAAACTGCTGCTGTTTACAGACAACATGATCTTATATATAGAAAACCCTAAAGAATCCATCAGAAAGCTACTAGAAGTAATCAACAATTACAGAAAAGTTGCATGGTACAAAATGAACTTACATAAATCAGTTGCATTTCTATACTCTAATAACAAACAGAAAGAGAACTCAAGAACACAATCCCATTCACAGTCACAAAAAAAAGAATAAAATATCTAGGAATAAATTTAACCAAGGAGGTGAAAGACCTATACAATGAAAACTACAAGAATTTCCAGAAAGAAATTGATGGCAACATAAAAAGATGGAAAGACGTTCCATGCACATGGATTGGAAGAATAAACATAGTTAAAATGTCCATACTACCTAAAGCAATCTACAGATTCAATGCAATTCCAATCAGAATCCCAATGACATTCCTCAAAGAAACAACAAAGAATCCTAAAACTCATAGGGGGCAACAAAAGACCCTGAATTGCTACAACAATCCTGAGAAAAAAGAACAAGGCTGGTGGCATCACAATTCCTGACTTCAAAATATACTACAAAGCTACTGTAATCAAAACAGCATGGTATTGGTACAAAAACAGGCAAACAGATCAATGGAACAGAATTGGAAGCCCAGTAATAAAACTTCACATCTAAGGACAGATAATTTCCGACAAACGAGCCTGAGAACATACAATGGAGAAAGGAAAGTCTCTTCAACAAATGCTGCTGGGAAAACTGGACAGCCACCTGTAAAAGAATGAAAACAGACCATTCTCTTACACCATCCACAAAAATAAAATCAAAATGCATCAAAGACTTAAAGGTAAGACCTGAAACCATAAGGCTTATAGAAGAAAATATAGGTAGTACACTCTTTGACATTAGTCTTAAAAGGATCTTTTCAGACACCGTGTCTCCTCGGACAAGGGAAACAACAGAAAGAATAAACAAGTGGGACTTATCAGACTAAAGAGCTTCCACAAGGCAAGGGAAAACAGGATTGAAATGAAAAGACAACTCACCAATTGGGAAAAAATATGTGCAAATCATGTATCCGACAAAGGGTTAATCTCCATAATACACAAAGAACTCACACAACTCAACAACAAAACATCAAACAACCCGATCAAAAGATGGGCAGAGGATATGAACAGACATTTCTCCAAAGAAGATACATGGATGGCACATAGGCACATGAAAAGATGCTCATCATCACTAATCATCAGGGAAATGCAAATCAAAACTACACTAAGATATCACCTTACACCTGTTAGAATGGCTATAATAACCAAGACAAAAAATAATAAATGTTGGAGAGGTTGTGGAGAAAAAGGAACCCTCATACACTGCTGGTAGGAATGCAAACTGGTGCAGCCACTATGGAAAACAGTATGGAGATTTCTCAAAAAATTAAAAATAGAAATACCATATGACCCAGCCATCCCACTACTGGGTATCTATCCAAAGAACTTGAAATCAGCAATTCAAATAGACTCATGTACCACTATGTTCAGTGCAACATTATTCACAATAGCCAAGACATGCAAGCAACCTAAGTGTCCATTAACTGATAAGTGGATAAAGAACATACGGTGTGTATAAATACATATATACATATATATATATATACAACGATTCCATCGTATATACAATGATTACCACTCAGCCATAAAAAGTGATAAAATCGTCCCATTTACAAAAACATGGATGGACCGTGAGGGTATTACGTTAAGCGAAACAACACAGATAGAGAAAGACAAACTCAGTATGATTTCTCTCAGATGTGGAAAATAAACACATGGACAAAGAGAACAGATTAGTGGTTACCAGGGGGAAGGGGAGTCGGGGGTGGGCACAAAGGGTGAAGGGGCGCAGCTATGACTGACAAAAAATAATGTACAACTGTAATTTCACAATGTTGTAAACTATCATAACCTCAATAAAAAAATTTTTTAAAAAAGGTATAAATAAATAAATAAATGCTCTCTCATGTTCATTTTCACAAGTCAACTGAAATACTCTGAAAGAAGCACTCTCAGAACAATTCCAATTATTACGTTTATTGCTGATTTAGGCAAATGTTTCAAACCATGTATTGCTGTTTTCAGGAAAATAGTAACTATCTTTTCGATAAATGCACTAAAACAGAAATCAAATAAATGGCCTAATATATACCAATCCATTCACTTTGAAAATAACAAGTAAAAGACAGATTATAACTAAATAATTTCATTTTAAAAATATTCAAATAATTAAAATCTGTGTTCAATTAGAATTGTTAAAAAACTCAACAAGTTTAAATTTCAAGGAAGTACTTGATTTAAATCACAAATCAAAACCAAATATTAAACCATCAAAGTTTCTTCTATCAACACATCAAATGAAAAATTTAGCTTCTTACCAGACAGCTGCTAAATTGGAGTGCAAATGTAAACTATGAGGAAACCTCGAGGACCTGGCTGTCCAGTACTGACGGATCACATGCTGTTCTAGCCAGCTTCGGGCATCTGGCTCATCTACTGGAAGAAAATTTAATAAGTTTAAGTTATAAGAGCTAACAAAAAAACACAATCAACTTTGCCACAATATCTGGACTTAACGGTTCCTTTCAAACATTCAACTGAAAAAGGCTCTTTAAAAGCTACCTGGCAATGTCTATAAACATAAGCATTTATTTAAAACCATATAAATATTGAGATATACATACAAAAGTTAATTAAATGCCATTGGCTAAAAAGTAAAAAGAAAAATATTATTCAATTTTAAAATGACCCCATGAATAAAAAGACACAAACAGTATACTTGAATGGTTCAATAATCATGAAAGAAATTAAAAGGGTAACCAGAGATGTTCCTAAGCACCCCCAAACCAGTACCAGGGTTTGAAGGATTAGATATCTTATACAGGTTGTTCAAGAAAAAGGGAAAGCTGCCTAACGTTCCATGAGGCTAATATAATTTTGCTTCTAAAACGAGATAAAGACATGATAGGAAAAGTAATTCATTAAAGAATAAAGATGGAAAATACTAAATTAAAAAACAGCTAATCCAATCCAATAATGAAGTAAAAAATAACAGGAAGATCAAGGAAGTTTAGCACAGGAATTCAAGGGTGATTCACTATCAGAAAATCTGTCAATATAGTAATAGAGGAAAATTATAGGATTATCTCACAGATAAAGATTAGCATTTGATAAAGTTTAATATTTATTTGTGATTTAAAAACTCCCAGAAAAACAGGAATAGAAGGAAATTGTCTTAATTTGATAAAGGCCGCATACTCAGAACCTATACCAAAAACCATCACACTTAATGGAGGAATTTCAGAGTCAATCTTTTTAGGATGAAACCCATAAACCAGGAAATCCACTCCCACTGCTACTGCTTCCCCTGCAGACTAGAGGGCTGGCCAGAAAAGAGACATTGTTAACGCATAATGAAGAAGATAAAAGGTATAAGAACTGGCAAAATTGTCAATATTTGCAGATGAGACTGATCATCTATTCAAAAAATCCAATGGAATCAACAAACTACTATAATTAATATGAGACTTCAGAAAGAATGTTGGGGGCTGGCTCCAAGGCTGAGTGGTTAAATTTGTGCACTCCACTTTGGCAGCCTGGGGTTTGCTGGTTTGGATCCTGGGCACAGACCTACACACCACTCATTGAGCTATGCTGTGGTGGCTCCCACATAGAAGAACTGGAATGACTTACAACTAGGATATACAACTATGTACTGGGGCTTTGGGGAGAAAAAAACAAAAGAAGTAAAAATAGGAGGAAGATTGGTAACAGATATTAGCTCAGAGCCAATCTTCCTCAAAAAACAAAGAATGTTGGATATAATGATAAAAGGAATGTTCCATCCAGAGGAAATAACACTTACGAATATATATGCATCTAACACAGGAGAACCAAAGTACATAAAGCAAATATTAACAGACCTAAAGGGAGAAGCTGACAGCAATACAATAATAGTAGGAGACCTGAACACTCCACTTATATCAATGGACAGATCATCCAGACAGAAAGTCAACAAGGAAACAGTGGCCTTAAATGAAAACGTAGACCAGATGGACTTAACAGATACATAGAGAACATCACACAATGTTATCAACCATTACAACCTCAATAAAATAATTTTTTTAAAAAAGAATGTTGCATATAAGAACAATGTACAAAAATCAAGAGTGTTTGCTTACAACAGCAACAAACAAAGCAAAAAAAACAGCATTCACAACTATTAACATAGAGAAATTAAAAAATACTTAAGATCTTTATAAAGAAAATTTCCAAAATCTAGTATGACAAAAAAGTAGAATAAATGTAGATGTTTTCATAGTAAAGATGTCAAATCTCCCTAAGTTAAATCTATAGATCCAATGCAATTCCAACAAAAATTTCAGCTGGATTTTTATAAAGGAACTTATCACAGTGCTTCTAAAATATCTATGGAAGAATACAATTTCACATATAGCTAAGTCAATTTTGAAAAAGAGTAATGGAGGTGAGCAAGAAACCTGCCTTCTACCTGTAGGGACATATTACAAAGCCATGTAAATAAAAACAGCCTGTTTCTCAGCAACTCACAGTAAGGGAAGAGAATAGAATGTTCAGAAATAAATACACATATTGTTATACAATAATGGTAGAACCACAAAGCAATGTAGAAAGAAGGAACTATTCACTAGATGCTGCTGGAAAATCAGCTCATGACATGGGAGAAAAATAAGCTGGACCCTTTAATCTCACTTCATAGATAAAAGTAGACCTAGTGGTAGTATGTACAAACAATGAAATAGTATTCAACCTTAAAAAGGAAGGAAATTCTGAAGACACCTGCTATAACAGTGATGAAATTTGAGGACATTGTGCTAAGTGAAACAAGCCAGTCATAAAAGGACAAATACTACAGCAGTCCCCTCTTATCCAACATATTAATGTTCCAAGACCCCAAGTGGATGCCTGAAACCATGGATAGTAACAAACCTTGTACATACTATGTTTTTTCCTATACATACATACCTATGATAAAGTTTAATTTATAAGTTAGGCACAGTATGAGATCAACAACAATAACAATAAAATAGAACAATTATAACAATATACTGTAATAAAAGTTACCATAGAGCTTAAAAAAAAGAAAAAAGAGGATCTGGTGGTCACCAAAAACCAAAACCTAAGGTAATAAATAAAGCAAACAGGGGCCATCCTGGTGGTATAGCAGTTAAGTTTGCACATTCTGCTTTGGCAGCCTGGGGTTCGCCAGTTCGGATCCCAGGTGCAGACACGGCACCGCTTGTCAAGCCATGCTGTGGCAGGCATCCCACATCTAGAGTAGAGGAAGATGGGCATGGATGTTAGCTCAGGGCCAGCCTTCCTCAGCAAAAAGAGGAGGCTTGGTGGCAGATGTTAGCTCAGGGCTAATCTTCCTCAAAAAAAAAGAAAAAAAAGCAAACAGAAGGAAAACAGAGGAGAATGCTTTTGTAGGGAAAAATATCAAGACCCAAATATTAATCACATCATGAAAAACTCACAGGTTTGAGTACAAAAAATGTTTTTAAAAAATCACAGATTCTGTTTGAAGGATATCATGAAAAATGTTAATACGCAAGTGACTCACCAGAAGATAACTGCAATGTCTAAAGCCCAGGAATTAATATCTAGATATACCAAGAACGCTGAAGGGTGGGGGTGAGCAGGAAGGACATGAAAGCCAGAAGGAAAACACGCAAAGGAAGTCAATGAGCACTTCACAGAAGGGGTAGGACTGAGGCACCTGAGGGACCAAATGTATTTCGCCAGAGCAGTCAAGACAAATGGAAATGAAAACCACAGGGGCCCACAGATGGGTGGATCTTATCAAGTAGGGATGAGACTGTGGGCCAGGTATATATGGGCATGGCACTAGGTAGAGCAGGTGACAGCAGCTCAGGGCCCGTCCACAAGGGAAGTGATAATAGAAATGTGGTGTTGCAAACTGAAGAACACTAAGCAGCAGTCAGGAGGGAGAGAAGAGATGCTCATAGGGTGATATGGACAGATCTAAAACAGTTAAATGAAAAGAGGAACAGAACAAAGTTTACACATAGCATAACACCAGTATGTAACTAAAAACAAAAGATACCAACCAACACAACGTGTTTTACAAGAACTCAGCATTTGTAAGAACATAGATAGCAAAGACATTAGAGCAGGTGCCTGCAATGGGGCTGGGAGAGAAAGGGAAAGGGGGTGAGAATCAGAAAGAGCATAAGAGAAGAAATAAACTGAACTAAAAGGCCCTGCACAGACTAGTGATGACAGTGTGCTCTAAACGCTCTGAACACTCTGCCCTGAAAGTCCAATTCGAGAATTAAAAAGAAAAGAAAGAGAAAACAAAATCAGAAAATCATTAGGATATTAAGTCAACTTTAACTACTTCTTGTGCATTTGGCAAGGTTCAAGTACAGTGAAGAGGACCTGGTCACAGACCCCAGGTTCTGAGGTGAGCTTCATGGTTGCAGGACCACAGCAAAATCATTGTAACCAGGGCTTTGTTTCCTTATCTGCAAAAGGAGAAGCAGGATTAGATGTTCTAATTTCTAACACTGCTTCCAGCTCTTTCTGGATTCTACCAACTCAGAGTTCTTCACTAAAACTGAAAAAGCAGACATTCAAACTTAAAATTAAATAGTATAGATCTTTTCCTTTTACTTAGTTACTAATTTTAGCAAAGTCAATCATTCGCCAATAAAAAATAAACTAAAACATTTAGGACTAACAAAGTTCTCAGAACTATAAAAAAAAGAACAAAATTATACTCTAACTCCCTTTACAACATTAATTTTATAGTGCAACTTCTTAGGCACTACAGAGGAAAGGTCGACTAATAGTTTAAAAAGATTTGTTTTATATGGATGGGAGAGCTTACCGATATCTCAAATCACATGGAACCATTCTCAAAATGTGTCTTTCCTCCTAGAGAGTTCTATTAGAAAATGCTGCCAGCATCCAAGAACACACACCTTTCCAGTTGACACGAGGCCCTGGTTTCCTGTTTTGATCTTGTGCTTCTAAAGGCGTCCTGTCCACCTGAATCCCAGAGTCCTCTCTGCTTAAGGGCTGTTGATCATCTTCGCCTTCACTTTCTTCAGACCAATTCTGATCGAAAAAAGGAAAAACACCTTACTCTTTGAATATATAACAACTGGAGCTATTTAGATTAAAAGATTAAGAAAATTTCAGAAGAAAATCCAAAACTATACCAAATGAAACTTTTTTCTAAATGTCTTGAAAGTTACTATTACAGGATGGAATTATTTTTGGTGGCAAAAAATCCCAAGATTCACAGCTCCTTGAGGGATACTTATTCACTCCAACTTCCTAGTACTAATGCTTCGGTACAAGATTTTAATAAATCTTCCATAAGAAACTACTCTAGTTTAGTGGAGTGTTCCTGTTTTAGTTAAGTTGTAGTAGGGCAGAAGGACCCATAGAAATCGTCTATATCACAAGGCATGTATTAATATTGGCACTTACTGGTGTGTCTGCATTTGGACCAAGGTCAATTTCTTCACCTTCCATCAAGTATTTTCCCCAATCAAAATCATCTTTCTTTTCTAAAATGTAACAGAAAAATCTCATCAGCTTTATCAAAAATATGTAAAAAACCAAACCAAACCAAACCAACCCAAAACTATAGGAAAAAAGTCAAACAAAACTCAAAATGCATTTGAGAAATGCAAGTACAAAAATACTGAAACACTCAATAAATCGATATCCTAATACATTTTAAATTTTAATTTTTTATCTTCAAAGGTGATATTTCTCTTTATATAACTGAAAATACTTTAACTTACAAAGTCAGAATTTGTTTTAAATGAAAATTTGCAATTGCAATTCCATCTAAAGCAACAAATATTTTAGTTTCATAGATTTTTACAACTTTTTAGAAAATTTCATGCTAGTAAATAAGTAATAAAACCAATTTCCCTTTTATTTGTTATATATTAAAGCATTTGTTAACGTACCCACTTCTTTATCTCTTGGTGTTTCCACATAATTGCTGTTTGAAGGAGAATCAGACAGACACAGAAGAAGTGACAGTATGGAGTAATGTGCATCTGTCTTTAAAACAAAAAGTGAAGACTATGAGTCAGTGAGGTTGGTGAGAGCTTTCTAAAGCAGTCTGAGTAAAGAAAAGATAACTGCATGACAGTTATGTCAATTGTTTTCCTGGTTTGAGAAAACATGAATTATACCTAAATAAATCCTAATCTCTAAACGTTTTTTATAGTTCAAATGTGTACACACAAGGGAACCTGTGAAAAATGCAGTATCTGAATCATAATGAAGAATTGTCAGACAAACCTAAATTGAGGGACAAGCTACCAAATAACTGGTTTGTGCTCTTAAAAATGTCAAAGTCAAGAAAATGAAAGGCTGAGGACTGTTCTAGATGAAAGGATACCAACTGGTAAACTGAGCAAAGGGAAGAGGAGTTTCTTCAACTATTCTTCAACTGTTAAGTTTGGTTTAAACTTAAAATATATTTTAAAAATCACATTTCAAAAGCTACCAGAAAATAAAAAGCCCCAAATGTGCTAAAGGTCATAAACTACGCTTGGAAAGGAGAGAGGAGATAGGTTAAATTCAAGAACGGGAAGGGAAGTCTCTGACGGCTAAAGAGCAATAAGCTTTTCCTATTATATGTTCTACAGTACTTCATGTACGTCTTTAGTGTTTATCATAATCATAATTATAATTAAGTAACTCTTTGGGCAGTGATGATCATTTCTCGTTTATTCTGTATTCCTACCACCTAGTATGATGCTAGGGACACCGCAGACATCTAGTCAACTTCCTGGGAATGAGAAGGCAATGTATCACCAATAAGACTGCAAGGAGCTGCCCTTTTCTTGGATAACTTCTCACCTGCTTGGAAATACTTGACATTCCTTTAACGAAGAAAAGAATTTTTACTCCACAAAGTGGCCTAAAGTGTAAATACTTGAAGAAAATAACTCTCACTATATAAATCTATTATTCAGTAATAATTGTTAATGTCAGATTGTTTCTTGGAAGAACTATATGCCCTGAAAGAGGTGGAAGAGGAAAAAGCAAAGGCACGCTCTAAACCCTTGGATCAAGGCATTTGCCCTGCAGCTGTGTGGAGGTGCACAAAAGCAGCATTTGGTCATGGGAGGAGGACCTGCATGATGCCACTCCTCCATTCCTGTACCTTGTTCATGTTTTGCTAACATCTCTAAAGGGCACCTAGAGGACTGATTAACTGAGGTTATCACTTAACTACAAATTAGCACTGCTGGTCAAAACATAGCCTGTCAACCAGCAATACACCACCCTTTGAAAAACACAGGCTACAATAAAGCTGGAACTCTTTCTCCACATTAGTCACATGCCCCTTTTTGGTCTGTCTCCTGAAGCTCTGCATAGTCCCTGCTCCTCTCTGGAGAGCCAATGAACACATGTACACATATGTTGAAAGAGGCAGTGCCATGTGCTGTGCATTTATACCGGAGGTGGTCTTGAATCTCAAATTTAGAGATCACTTCACTTCCACATTCTTTGAAATCTAAAGATAGAAAGAAACAGATTTCCTAGTTTCAGTGGGGTTTTATAGATATGCCAAAGTCTTTGCTTATTTCTCCAAGAATTTCAAACAACCCCAAACTCTCCTTCTCCAAACATCATTTAGAGCCCGGAGGATGATGAACAGCTACGTACTGAGTAACTCCTATGGATACTATATATCTCTATCTATTTATAAATTAAAATACAGTGAGGTTAGAGACTCGGTTCTGGCATAATGGAGGGAGGTGGTCTTCAAATCCTCTCCCTCAAAAGTAACAATAAAGCTGGACAAGATTGACAAAGACAACCATTTCTGTGCTCTGGATTTCTGGATGGAGCACAGGCATACAAATGCTGAGAAGCGTTTATCCACGAAAATGACCTCAGGGGAGAATTGCATGAGTTTGTCACGTATTTGCCTAGAGCTATCTCCCTTTTCCCTCTCCTCTGTCAGAGGAGCAGTTCAACAAGGGCTAGACAGGAAGTGAAACCTAGCAGCCTTGCTGCCCTCTTATCAGAGGAGGCTCACTTGAATCTGACGGCTGTCAGTTAAAGTGGTGGGCAACAGCAATGGCAAGTGAGCGGGGGAGCTAGTGGTTGCAGGCCTGTGTGGGGCAAGTAGCAGGCCAGCAGAACGTCTGAGGGTTTATCAGGGAGTTCCTGGATGCAAAACAGCCAAAGGGGGTTTGCTAAGCTCTCCAGATGTCTTGGGTTGACTAGAGGCTGTAAGGTGCACAGCAGAGACTAGAGTGGACGCAAGCCACCCACACATCCTTCGCCAATGGAGCCTGACTCCGTGCGCAGAGAAGATGAAAGAGAGCCAACACAAAGTATAAGCCAGGACAGTCTTGAAAATGGCCTTAAGTGTGAATGTACTTCTCAGTCCACACACAAATAAATCAGATTACGATCCAAAAATCATTAATGTAGTACACCATATGTTATGGACTGAATGTTTGTGTGCCCCTCAAATCAATATGTTCACACTCTAACTCCTAACGTGATGGTATTTGGAGATATGGCTTGGGAGGTAATTAGGTCATGAGGATAGAGACCTGGTCTGATGGGACAGGAAGAGACACCAGACAGCTCTCTCTGTCATGTGAGGACACAGGGAGAAAGCAGCTGTCTACGAGCCAGGAGGAGAGTCCTCACCAGCAGCCAAATGGGCTGGCACCTCAATCTTAGACCTCCCAGCCTCCAGAATTGTGAGAGAATAAATTTCTTTTTAAGCCACCCAGTTTGTGGTATTTTCTTATGGCAGCCAGAGCTGAGTAACACATTATAGTAATAGACTTCAAGGCAAAAAAAATATGATTATCTGTAAGACACAGAAAGAGATTTGACAAAATCCAACACTCATTCATGATAAAAACTCTCAACAGATTAGGAATAAATGGGAACATCCTCAACCCGATAAACAGCATCTACGAAAAAGCGACAACTAACAACATAATTAATGGTTAAAACTGCAGCTTTCCCTCTAAGACTGGAAACAAGGCGAAGACGTCTACTCACTTCTATTCAGCATTGTACTGGAGCTCCTAGCCAGAGCAACAAGCCCAAAAACAAACACACAGAAAACACTTCACACTGGAAAGGAAGAAGTCAAATTGTCTTTATTCAGAGAGGAAATGATCCAAAGTGTAGAAAATACTAGGGACTCCAGAAGAAAATTACTAGAATAAATGAGCTTAGCAAGGCTAAGTAAACAAAGATCAGTATAAAAATAAATTATATTTTTATATTCTAGCAACAAGAAAACTGCAAATGAAATTAAGAAGACAATTTCATTCATAATAGGACCAAATAGAATAAAATATTTAGGAATAAATGTAAAAGAAATGCAAGATTGTATGTGGAAAAAGAAAACTGCTGACAAAAATTTAACATGATCTAAATAAATAGCGTCCATATTCATGGATTAGAAGATTTAATATTGATAATATTGTGTATTAGTTTTCTAGGGCTGCCATAACAAAATACCACAAACTGTGTGGCTTAAAACAAAAGGAACGGATTCTCTCTCAGTTCTGGAGGCTAGAAGTCTCAGATCAAGGTGCTGGCAGTCCATGCTTCCTCTGAAGGCTTGAGAGAAGAATGTTTCCTAGCTTCTGGCAGCTGCTAGCAATCTTTGATGTTCCTTGGCTTGCAGCTGCATCACTCCAACCTTTGCCTTTGTCATTGCATGGTGTTCTCCCTGTGTTCAAATTTCTCTTTTCTTATAAGGACACCGATCTCCGGATTAGGGCCCATCCTAATACAGTTTGACTTCATTTCAACTTGTTTACATTGTCAAAGACTCTATAATAAGGTCACATTCACAGACATCAGGGGATAGGACTTGAACATATCCTTTTGGGGAAGACAGTTCAACCCATCAGATGGCATTACTTTCCCAAACTGATCTACAGATTTAATGCAATCCCTGTCAAAATTCCAGCAGGCTTTTTGCAGAAATTTAGCTGATCCTAAAACATGCATGGAAATTCAAAGGGTCTAGAACAGACAAAAATTTTGAAAAAGAAAAAGTTGGCGGACTTATATTATCTGACTCCAACACTTACTATAAAGCTACAGTAATAAAGACAGTGTGGTATTTGTGTAAGGACAGGCATATAGATTAATGAAACAATTGAGAGTCCAGAAAGAAATCATTAGATTTACAGTAAATCTGCTTTTGAAAAAGTTGCCAAGACAATTAATAGGTAAAGAACGGTCTTTTCAACAAATGGTGATAGAACAACTGGAAATTAATCAGTAAAAAAAATTAACTTAGATCTTTTCCTCACAACATATACAACAATTAAATCAAATTGGATCACAGATCTAAAGGGAAGTGCTAAAACTGCTAGAAGAAAACACAGGAGAAAAGTCTTTATAGTTTTGGGTTAGGCAAAGAGTTCTTTTGAAACCAAAGCATGAGTCATAAAAGAAAGAAATAGATAAAATGGACTTCATTAAATGAAACATTTTTGAGCTTCAAAAAAAAATACCACTAAGAAAATGAAAAGACAAGCTGAGGACTGGAGGAAAATATTTGTAAATCAGTTTTCTGAAGAAGAACTTGTATGAGGAACATATAAACAACTCTGATGACTCAATAAGAAAAGCAATCCAATTTGAAAACGGGTAAAAGATGTGAATGGACATCACAGAAGACACACAGATGGCAAAAAAGCACACGACAAGATGCTCAACATCATTAGGAACTAGGGAGATGTAAATCAAAACCACAACGAGATATTACTACGTGCTCTCTAGGATGCCTATAATCAAAAAGACAATCACAAGTGTAGGTGAGGATGTGGAGAAACTGGATCCTTTATACATTTCTAGTGGGAACATAAAATGATACAGCCACTTTGGCAAATAATTTGGCAGTTTTTTAAAAGGTTAAACCTAAGCTAACCACATAAACCAGCAACTCTAGTCCCAGAAAATTAAGAAGAGTGAGGACTGATGTCCACACAAAGCTTGCACGAGAATGTTCGTAGCAGTTCATTATTCTAACCAAAACTGGCAACAATCCG